TGCTGTTCAGCCGGCCCATTCAGGCGGGCCCCTATATCGAGTTGTTCAGCCGGGCCCATTCAGGCGGGCCCCTATATCGAGTTGTTGCTGTTCAGCCGGGCTCATTCAGGCGGGCCCCTATACCGAGTTGTTGCTGTTCAGTCGGGCCCATTCAGGCGGGCCCCTATGCTGAGTTGATCGCAGATCCCATCGAGTCGGGTTATTTTCGTGAGTTGTTGATACCCCGCTCATCTCCAGGACATCATTGCTTGGCATAGCAGCTTGCCAGGGACATTCTATATTATTTTGCAGATTGGTCAAGCTGGCTTCTCAACGTGAGACAACCCCTACATGGGGTAAGTTGGTTGAGAAGTTCTGCTATCGACACATTGGGCATCTTAGCTTCATCATTCGGGCCAATGAGTCTCCTACATCGAGGTACACGTTGGTGATCACTTATCACGTGAGAGATGCTGGGCAGGGAGTGAAGGGAACTACCTATGACCGGATTGCTGACTATATCTTCCGCAGGGAGAGTTACTAGAGGGAACACTGGTTACATGTGGTGTTTCCCCAGATCCCCTTTGCATCAGGTGGTGACCTCTATGACTTTGACGGTTGTAACCCTAAACCGCTGAGCAGAGGTGGCAGCAAGGAAAAGAGGCGTCAAGACAGGAGGATCAGGAGCGAGGTGACCAGATCTGAGATACCTATTACCACCTGTCTACAGAGGTCGGAGACAGATGAGTCAGACCAAGAGCCTTGCTGTGTGAGCGACGTTGATTTGGGGGACTATTTTGACTGGGATACTCATAGGGACTGAGTACACTTGAGATTGGAGCAGATCCAGAGCATCTTATGACATTGGTCACTGGAGCGAGACGCAGGCGGAAAGCAGCCCTACGACGGGTCGCTTATCTCCTGGCACGATATTTGCTTGAGGGTGATTGATCCAGGCATTACATGTGAAGAGGACCCAGGTCAGAGGAGGTAGCCGACCCTTCAAGGGGGAAGGGACCAGTCCCATATCTTGGAGATGGCTACAGTCACTTGGTGGGAGCAAACTTCGTTATACAGGTTTTCGGAAGCCACTCTATGGAGACCGTTTTCTGGAGGTTTCTTATGATTACCTCTACGACAAGGGACGGATTGAGATCTTGATTGGTGCCACTGGCAACATTTCCCTTGCCGAGGAGCTGTATCTCCTGAGTGTCGCGGACGGGGAGATGACGAGATGTATGACATATATTAGCAAGATCGATCCTGAGGCATCTTTAGACATTAGCTATGTGGTCCCAGAGTCTATAGCCACTCAGGTTCTCAATGATGAGGAGGACCAGCGTGTACCAGATACGGAGTCCCAGACAGTTGAGCCCACTCATGAGGGGGTACCACTTGTCGTCATTGACTGAGGCTCGTATCTTTTAGTCACTGAGATGTATTATGACATTATTATTATTTATCAGTGACTGCAGCCCCTCCTATGGCTGCTTCCCGCATTCTTTGTGTACTACTCTTCAGTCTCGTGTCTCTGGTCATGCTCTTGCAGAGTCTGGTTTCTGGTCTTTTCGTCCTCTCAGTGTCATTTGATTTATGATGCATATCCTGTAATGCATGGAATGTTTGTGCATGAGATAACAAGTTATTTATCGCTCCTTATCATAACAGGTTACACTCAAGGCAACTTGAAGGACTCCTGGATAATAGGGACTCCGGTGACCTTGATTCTAACCTTTATATGGGGTCAGGTGCAGACGATAAAACCGAACGCCTCACTCTAAGCCATGTCGCCGCTGGCAGGAGGGATAATCCTGACTACTCGACTGTGTGACAAAGGCTGCTTGTAAGTTCACTCATAATTTTCATAAAACTTTCCAAAATCCTGCGTGACAGCCTGCCAGTCCACCAACCCACCGCACTCGGCCCGGGGAGGGACATCAAACCAGGCCCTGGAACGGTGGGGGCGCAATAGCGGGCCTCAAACCTGCGTGCCAACACACTCTTTATTATAGTCAACCATTCAGTCAACGTAAACAACAGACACAACCGCAACTCGTGCGGTGTACTCAGCTTTGTGCGGTGTACTCAGCTTTGTAAGGGCATTCGCACTGACAACACTTTTGGAAATTCCTTCGCCCAACCCGACATAATTCCTTCACGTGCTGCCACGCAAGAGGCTGAGACAAGAAACAACCAGTTTAAACCATCAGTACCTCTCCCTGCTTGAAGAATTCGATGTGGCCGTTAACGCGCCACGTCGCGCGGGGTACCCATCGGCGTGCGACCGGTAGCCCCCCAAAAACGGACCCCAAAAAAAAAAAAAAAAAAAAAAA